CTGGGTCACAAGTAATTTTCAATATGGCGATGGCTTTTGCTATGAAATCACGGATGGTGAAAATAGAAGCTGATTTCATTGAAGAAATATGGAAAAAGCCATATATTTATATATATATTGCTGTTTTGTTGTAGTATAACTGTCTAAGTCATTTTTAAAATGTTTATATATGCATTAAATTTATAATCATGGAAAATTCAGAGTAGACAATATTTTATGACATGCTGTTTCTGATGACTTGTTTACAAATTATTTGTCACCAAAAGTTCGCCAAATTTGTCCTATTTCGTGCTGATCGTGTGAAAAGAATGTTATTGTTATTTAATAAAAATTTTTTAATAAATTTAAGCTAAATAATTTTTTAAAATATATTTGCATATGTGCGACTTTACTTTTCTGTTAATTACTTTTAAATTTAAATTGCATAATCAGCAATATGTTAAAATCAGCGATTATGTATGTCATGTATCTGGCTGCAGTCAGCCAATCAGCTGCCTGCCTCGCCGTAAGAATCCAGCAAGTGAGACAGACGAAAGTTGTCCGCAGAACATGTGGTAGGGCGTTTATGCCTGAGTTGAAATTTCAAGTTTAGGCTGATTTAATTTGTAAGGTAGTGAAGACCTGTGTTTCATTGGAGTTATTTTATTAAATCATATAATACCATCATCATGTAAATATTTCTACATAAAAGTCCTGCTTCTATATAATAAAGGGTTAAACTTCCAATAATGTATTGTGTCCCATCTTTGCCTTCCCGACAAGCACGACAATGTATATTTATTAAAATATAGATTATGTAATAATGAGGATACACATTAAATTAGTATGCTATTTTCTTCACGTTATTAATGAAATGCTTTTTAGATTATAAACACATCAAGAACTATATTTTTATTATAAATGCTACATATGGAAACATTGGAAATTTATGGATTTATTATTATGATGATGAAAAACATTTGTATATATATTCATTAATATAAATTTCATTCATTACATTAACACTAATAAATATACATCAAAAGCTTCTAAACCATTGCATCTCTCTCTCTCTCTCTATGTGTATATAAATATGACTTATTAGATATATATGTATGGATATGTGTATACATATATATGAATACAAAAATTAAAATTGCCAAAAAGGTTATCTGAAATTACTTCTAATTCATATAACGATTATGTAACTGGCAGCAATTGTAGTCATCAGTTCTTTGCACATTATCGTGGACATGCAATACACAGTTGAAAAATAATTGATGTGCATTCAGCTAGTCATTAAAATTCACTTACTTACACATAACCTTTGCATTTGCAATTTACTTGGGAATTTAAACAAAGAAACTGAGCAAGTAGCCTTTACAAAATATTTAACATTTTGGGGATAAAATAAATATTTTTCACTCATCACAAAACATATACAGTCAAATACCAAAAATCCGCCGACCTGAAATCCACGTTGCCTCTCAAAATATAAACATTCAGTTTATAGATTCCAGAAACCGCAACATTGAGTACAAAATATCAAAGAAAAAATACTTACCGAATAATGACGTCCTAATTACCGAATAATAATGAGTCATAAAGGAAATACCAAATTATTGACATCATGATAAAAGTTTTTCCTCCTCTAATCTGCATTGAGGTAAAAAAGCTGACGATTCACTCAACTCTTCTTTCAAGTTCACAATTGACGTTGTTGTATTTTCTGAGCTTTGTTATTTCACGTGATTATTTGGTGCTACCTTCTTTTTTTATCTGGACATTTTGTGGATAAATTAAGAATATTTTTAATTTCAGCCCTTTTTAATACAATTACAGATAAGAAACGCACTCATGATTTTACTGCTTGCAACGTTGAAAAACATAAACACCTTGCATTGACGGTAATGCAAAAAGTGCAAATTCTGCAAAAGATGGAAGCAGGTGTTACTCCTCGGTTTATAGCAGAATCGTATGGAATTGGACACGATTGTGTATGATAGAAGAAAAGAAAGAGACGCCGTTGAAATTCTGCATCAACAGCGATTCTAACATTGGAAATCTTTGCATGAGGCAAAATTGGCAAACCTCGATGCTGTGTACATATAATAATACAATGAATAATATAATCAATTTATATATGTAATAATAATTTAATGCATATAATAAGTTATTGCAATAATGTATATAATAATTTAATGCATATAATAAATTATTGTAATAATGTATATAATAATTTAATTAAATGTTTTTTATACACCTTATTTATTTTGAACTTTTAGTTTGAATATTATCTTTTCTGTCCTGAAATCCACGAAATCCTAAAATCTGCACAACCTCTGGTCCCAAGCTCTGTGGATTTCTGGACTTCTATACATTTGCTGTATCAGTAAATGACATTATAGAAGGGCAATTCCAAAAAAATGGTCTCCTATTTTTTGGAGACGTAAAGAAAGTTTTAATACCATTGTTGGCAACACTGTTCTGAGTGGTGCCTTCTCCGCTACCACATAAGCATGCAGGCGCTTCGCTCGGATGCTCAGTCTTGGCTTGGCAGCCATTCGAAATGGAGCTCCCGATAAACGTTACCGCGAAGTGTGCGCAGTTATTCGATTTTTGAACGCAAAAGGCGTTAAACCGGTTGAAATTCACCGCCTATTGACGGAAGTGTGTGGATAGTCGTCATGGATGTCAAAAACATTCGCAAGTTGTGTATAGACTTTACAGCCGGTCATACTGAAATTCATGACGAAGAAAGGAGCGGAAGGCCGTCAATTGCCGACGAGACAATCGCGAAAGTTGAACTCATGCGTAAAGGTCAGAGGATCACTCTGGATGCTCTCTGCATTTTGTTTCCTGAGGTTTCCAGAAGCACCATCCACAGGATTTTAACGGAAAAGTTGCAATGTCGGAAGGTGTGTGCAAGATGGGTGCCACATATGCTGACAGAAGACCACAAAAGGTAACGGGTTGATTCTTCCCGCGAATTTCAAGATGAAGATGAATGATGATGAAAGATGAGGTTCAACGCTTCCTGAAGGGCATGGCGGCAAGCTGGTATGACATGGGCATTGTAAAACTGACACAGCGTCTACAAAAATGCATCAAACGAGATGGCGATTATGTGAAAAATAAAGCATTCTTCAATCTTTAAAGTGATGTAGCAATTATAGAAAATAAACAGTTCTTTATATATCAAAAATTATAGGAGACCTTTCTTTTGGGATTGCCCTCGTACTGTGTACATAAAAGTTATTTAATAAATATATGGCTACAAAAATATTGTTTACAATGATAAAATCAGAAATAATGACAAACCACTTAATGGACGATATAAAAGTATTTACAAAAATATATAGAACAGATATTACAAGAATCGGAGTAAAAAATATACAATTTAAATGTAACAACGTAATAAACACATGTCATTTTTCCAAAGTATTGAGCCAACAGTATTATAATAATTACAAAATATATTTTGTATATACATGGAATTTGAAAGCAAATATCTCTTTCACCAATCTGAGCAATAACTGATTCCTGTTTGGCTTTCAAGTCTTTTTACCAAGTAAAGATGGTAACCCACTTTGCGGAACATTGTGTTCCAGCAACAAATAGTGTATCTGATAAGGGTATTATTTCATTACTGAACTCATGACCATTGACACTTTGCACTTTACTGGGGTTCCAAGTATAGTAAAAATATCAGCAAGGTGATATGTAAACTCTTCTGCACATTTGTTTTTAGGGCATGCAACTTCATGACCTTTGTCATGTGGAAGACATATAAAGTCATTATCTGATTATAGCATCATGTCAATTAGGTGTACCTGGTATCAGGATTTTATTTCTTGAAAGGCCTAATAACAGCACTCAAGCTAATTTAGGGACAATAAGTCCTGTGCTGGATACCTTTAATTTTGTTTCGACAACTTTCATACAAATTTAAATAAATCATAACTTCTTTGGTAGTAATGTTTTTGTACTTCTTTCTACCACTATGGGCTATTCATAATTGTGCCTCATGAATTATAGTACAACAACATTCTTCAAAATACAAATAAAATCTAACACTAAAAGTGTCTTTACTTAAAGGAAAGATAAGTTTTCAACACTGCGTACTTTCATTACGTCGTATCTTTTTTTAGTTAATAATCTTCTGATTTTCCCACTACTTTTGTTTTTACTATTATTCATTTTTCTTAACAAGCTATCATATCTTTCTTTTGACAGAAAACCACCGTTTTCTTTCTTAGTATTCATAACATTAACTAATTTAAAATTAAAATGCTCAAGCATACCAGCCATTATTCAGTATTTTATAAAATACAAGAGAGTAGTAAAAACATATCTAGACAACATAATGTTGTAAATATTACTGAAATCTCATTCCTAAACCATCAATCCATGTGTAGACTAGACCACCAATCATGAACAAGCTGTGCGTTATTAGTGCGTTGTCACATGTTGCTAATAATGATCTTCTTTAATAAAAGCCAAGCGACTGTGCAAACTGGCAAAGTAATGGACTTCTATCACATTCGCCATTACAAGTTGGGAATTAAATAAACAAACCATGAGTGAAAGTGATCAATTTTCAGCAATGTATTACATTGACCAAATTTAGTAGTGATTATAAACAATTATCAGTGTTTATGCAAAATCATCGGATTAATCACATTTACCTTTAAAATATATGTACATAGTAATAAACAGAGGATTCAGTGCAAGGAATTGCTGATATGCAAGTGGTCTAGGCTAGATGACCAATAAAACTATGGCTAGATGGTCAACAAACCATCTAGCCTTATGAATGGCAAATGTTGAGATGTATTTTTTACTTTACTGGATCTAGAATAAATTTTTACATGTGGTTTATTTTAACATGCTTTTAAGAAATCAGGTTCTAATATAAATGCATAGAAAAATATTTTTTGGATCATTTAACTGTAACTGACACACTTCAAACAGCTCTCTCAGGTAAAGCAAATAATTAATAAAATAAAATATCAACTTACTGAAGTTTTAAGAATGGTAAAATCAGATTTTGAAGCAAAGTTACATAACGACCAAGACCTTCAGAAATGGAATCATAGATTGGATGATCAGGATATGGTGAATAATACGTTTCCATTGTAGCCGGAATATAGGCCTGCTTTGTTCCAGCCTAAATATAATACTGAAATTATTCTGCAAGTATGAGTAACTAATTGGCATACACTAATATCAAATGAAACTAACATGGCTAATCAGAATGATATGAAAAACCATGTTATCATATGCAAGATATAATGTATATATTAAATTCAAAGATATAGCATATTTCAAGCCTCCAAAAGTCATGAAATAGGAGATTTTTAATTTGATATATTATACACAATACTGTATCACTATATATAAAACAAGCAATGCATCTTAGCAGCAAAAAGACAAAGTGGGAAAGTAAGCATGCATTCAGCAGAAACGAGAGATACTGAGTCATTTCTTGTGGAAATTCTGACCTGCGACTGTAGAAAAAATATCCACACTGTTACGTTACATAAGATGGCATGAAGCAGACAAATTAAAATGAGAAATAAAAGGGACTCTTACCAAATTAAAGTTAGAAGTTTGTTTTCATATTTTACATCTTACACATATACAGTACAAAGTCCATAATCCGGACGTCCATTATCCGGAATGTTCTATAATCCGGACCTCAAAGCCACAAAATTTTTTTTTGTATGCTTTACACATGCGCGTAATGCATTTATGCATGCACGTTTAATGTTACGCATGCGCGTTTAGCACAAAAAACGAAGCAACTTAAACAACTTACACTAAAAGAAATGTTTAATAAAGTAAAGAAATAAATATTAAGCTTTTTTTTTTTTTTTTTTTTTTTTTTTTTTTTTTGTAAATTTTGATACCCTTCAGATCATAATTGCTCTTTATTTCATAAATTATGGTTTCATATTTTTAATTGTATAGTTTCTGCATGCCATCCTACCAGATTTAAATTGATGATCTATAATCCGGAAAAACCCCTAATCCGGAATCGCCGAAGTCCCGACGAGTCCGGATTACGGACTTTGTACTGTATATATATAATACAAAATTGGAATTAGATGAAAATTAAAACACAATCAAAACAGAATTAAAGCATCTAAGATTAGATAAACTATGTAAATCATGAAAGTAAGTCACTACTCACAAGGGCCTTAAATTTTCTTAAAGTGAATTTAAATTACACAAAAAAAAGACGACATAAATGTAAACAAAATAAAATAAACAAAAGTATGTGAAAGTGAGCCTTAGGCTGAAACAAAGGACTATAGTTAAGCAGATTGCTAAAAAATAGAAAAATGTAACAATTTGAAACATTTTCAACTCACATCTTCAGGGGGTAAAGGTTTAAATTTTTTTAACTGTTCACATAGGAAATCCGAGAATGGATTTCCATTCTTTTAGTCGGTTTTGCGCCAATAACCTCTTACTCACTCACCCCCCCCCCCCCATTCTTTTAGTCAACAGTCCCCTGAAATTCAATTATAATTAACTATGCTTTTAAAAAATAAAAATACCCCTACACATGTCAGAGTTCACAAAACTCAGTTTGGAAGAAACAAAACAAAAATAAAATAATTTCACAGATATAATTAAAGAAAGCAGGATTAAAAAATTACCATGAAATTGAAATGGGCACTTTAACAAAAGAAATTGCTGGAAAAACACATAAAATACTAAAATTATTAAAAATACAACAATGCTCTTACAATAATTCCACTATTTTGCTAAATGTTAAGCTGAAAGACCTTGTGATGACCAGATGTGTTTAACAGGGTTGTTAGTTATTATAGAAATTAGAAATGGCTGTTAATTGGTGAGAAGATTGGCCAAAAATATATAAGTGAAAGATTTACAAATGGCAAAATTGGTAGGAAAAAAAAAAAAAAAAAAAAAAAAGTACTAACTTAGCAGCAATGAAAGTAAGTGGGGGGGAAAGAGCATATATTCTTTTTTCACATTCTTTACTTTGAAAAGGTTCAACGGAAACTGAAATTGGCCTTATTAATAAAAGAAAATATGGCAGGAAAAATATTTTTAAAAATTTACACAATTATAAATCCATTATATTTAAAAATTACACATCCACCTCTATTTTCTCTTTATGGAATAGTTTTACTTTGATTTAGCCAAACTGAATTTTATGAACTCCAACATGCATACAGGTAATAATTTTTTATTTTTCAAAACATTCTTAATTATATTTGAATTTCAGGATGACTTAACTATCAAAGAGAATTGAAATATACCTTTCGATTTCTCAACATGAACAATTAAAAAAATTTAAATGTTTACCACATGATGTGACTCTTTAAGATGAGAGTTCAAAAATGTTTCATATCGTTATATCTATTTACTTTCAAATTTTTGGCAAATTGCCTAAAACTATATTCCTTTATTTAAGCGTAAGGTTCACTTTCACTTAATTTTATTTTGCCTACATTTACCTGCACAGTGTTGAATTTTTCAGTATGATCTAAATATATATGTAAAATTTTAAATCTAGTTTTAATTTTAAATTCATACTCTGTTCAAACAGCTGCAATAAAAATCAAAAACATCAAAAATTAAGAAGACTAAAAAAAAGGGGGGAGCTAACTATTGAAGGTAGCTGAAAAAAGTGAAACTCAAATGTAAAACATAATAAAAAACCAAAAAGGGATTTCTATATTTCTTATGATACTTTACTCGAAGTGTTGGTGTCCTGAGAAATGCAAAAAAACTTACACTAACCAATGAACAACTTAGTTAAGTGAAATTAAATTAAGTACCTTAAATAACTATTAATATAACTATATAATTAATAATAGCTACTATAATTAGCCAATCTAAACAGATTATGAGCAATTTAATCCTCTTTCAATGGAAAATGAATTTAATATTAAGTCTCTTTTTTAAATTATTATTTTTCAATTTACAGTTAAATTACTGCAGCTTTCAGAGCATTGTTTAATTATTGATTTTTTAGAACTTATTATTCTCTAAACTGAAGATAATACCATAATTTATTTCCTCATCAGAAAAAAAATATACTTATAGATAAAATAAAAGAATATTATAAAAGAATTATAAAGAATATATAAAGAATATTATAAAGTACTTACATGATATAACTTAGAGTAACCATTACTGATTACATAACCTTTAAAAGGGCTTTCAGACCCTTCTATATGTGTAATTCGAAAGTATATCACTGGCCACCTGAAAACAACAAGGTATCATAAAAACTGTTTTTAATGTATATTAAGAAAACATATCCATACAATACTCATTCAAACCAGGGTTCATGAATCTTTTAATGCATATGGCTCATTTTCATACCTTTGCTGAAAGTTAAAATTCTTATGTGCCATAATAGTAGAAATTAATACAACTGAAAAGTATTTTTTAAAAGGGAAGTTTGTAAAGAATATATAATTAAATGATGTTCATCTTTTATTTATATTTTATATACATTTTTAGACAGATTAATTTAATTTTCATGAATTCCTTAATTTTTTCTCTTTTATTCTTCTCTTGTTTTCTTTCTTTTCTTCTCCCCCCTCTTGATGCAGCTCAATCTAAATATGTGTCTATAGCTAGTAAACACATCTATGAATAACCTATGAGAAGTATTTAGTGAGTTATTATTTAGATTCAGAGCTCAGAGAATAAATTCAAAAGTGTATCAAAAACATGTGGTTTGGAAACCTAAGTTCATGAAGTGGTTAATACTGTATCCTATAAAGGGAAAAAAAGATTATCTTCCATTCATAGTACATGTACAGCCCATTTTGTTCTTTGAACTTAATTAAACTTACTTCAACACAGCTATCAGTGCCCATATTAGGTGGGAGACAAACAGATAGATGCATACAAATTTTAATACTACAGATACCAGTAAGCCTCTGATTCCATAACAAATTAAAAAGCGAACACATGAAACTTGCTACAATAATAAACTGCATGGGAATGAGAATGGAAGAATTAAAAAGTATAGTATAAACCAACTTTAAAGTTGTATATGCATTTTGAGACTTGGCAATAAGATTACATGAAGACTAAAAAAAATTAAATAATAATAAAAAATATTAAATAAAAATGGATCACCAATTTTACTGTTTTATTTTACAACATAACTAAAACTTTGCACAAGAAGAGAAATAAAGTTAGCAAAATAAATCAATTCATGAAATTAATTAAAATCTTTACAGTACATAATAATTTGGGTAAAAACATTGTTAAGCATTAATAAGCATTGAACAGCTGAGTGCATCCACGCCCACATGTATTTTTTTCTCTTTACCTTTTCTGACACGAGATAATATTTAATATATGCAATGCCAAATTTCAGCAATCATAAGACGAATAATGCCCCATTACAGAAAAGTATTTATATAAATACATGATCACAGATCTCGTTACACTTTTAAGGTGTCCGCCGCTAACATCGCGGACGAAAACGTCGCAGAGAAAACAACGCAAGGCGAAAAAGTTGTGCTACAAAACATCGTGGGAGAAAACATCGCAATTCTAAAACATCGTGGTCGAAAATAAAGCGGTTCAAAAACTTTGCAGTTTAAAAATATCGTCGTCGAAAACATCGTGGTAAAAAATTAAGTATCTACAAATCATCGCGTGATGATAACATCGCAGACATGCTTTTTTTCAGACTTTAATAACTGTAAATAGATATTCCCATCACAATTTGTGAGCGCAAAATAGAAAGTAGGATAATTTGTTTTCATATTTTATATTAACTAATTTTTGCTGAGGAAATAAGAAGGAAACTTAAGCATAGAAAATTAATGCAACTTATAGCATTTAATAGAATTTTAAACCGACATAGTTAACTAACAAAGACCATTAATAAATAATTTTTATAAAGTTTTTACTGGTAATTTTTCATAAAAAGTATAATCTATAAGTTGCATTTAATTTTCTATGCTTATGTTTCCTTCTTACTTTTTCAGCAAAACTTTATTAGAATCAAAAAATGTGAAAGTAAAACTTATTATTCTTTATTTATATCTTGCGCTCTCAAATTATTATGGGAATATCTATTTACAGTTATTAAAGCCTAAAAAAAGCATGTCTGCGATGTTATCGTCATGCGATGATTTGTAGATACTTTATTTTTTACCACGATATTTTTGACGACGATGTTTTCAAACTGCGAAGTTTTTTAACCGCTTTATTTTCGACGACGATGTTTTGTACCCACGATGTTTTCTCCCACGGTGTTTTGTAGCACGTCGTTTTCGCCTTGCGTTGTTTTTCTCTGCGACGTTTTCGCCTTGCGTTGTTTTCTCTGCGACGTTTTCGGCTGTAACTACTTTTAATTACTCTTAATTTAGTTTTTGTTTTAATTAAGTATGATCTTAAGTATTTTCATGAAACGTATTAGTAAGAACACACTTCCAGATAGATATCAAGAATTTATTTTTTACTGCAGGATATATATTTATTTCATCTTGATCAATTAAGAGGTTCATTTAGCTTGCATCTCTCTGTTAAAAAACTTGTTTCAGATTTCCAGGTGTTTCTTCCATTATCTTAATATCTTCAAAGCTATAGGGAAGACAGAGAATCACAATGACTCTCTTTGTTTATACGTTTTTTTCCTCCTTCTTATTTCTATTGTGTCTGAAAGGTTGCCTAGGTTATGAATACTTAACATCATTCCACTTAGAGAGGGAGCTAAGTGGAAAAGCTTTCAATAATGTCAAGTTCTCTGATACCACAATATGTTGTTTTCTGTTTGTGAAATCATGAGCTATTCAGATGGCTATGAAGAAATGACAAATACTTAGTTGTTGAACCTCCTATGAAGATTTATCTAAAACTAAATATTTGTTCATTTATGGATCTGCTCAACTCGTACTGGGAGTTCCCAGTTTCAATTTCCACATGACAGGATGGTCTGTTAAACAAGACATTTGATAATAGGTTTATCCCTCTAAAAAATATGGGTCATGTTTCACACAAATCTTATGTTTTCTTATCTGAATATGAAAAAGCACACAGAGAATATTAGCTTAAGAGGGAGGGATGGTTTAGCAGAGGATTTTCTAAAGGAAATTGGCTCATATTTATGCTACATAGGAGAAAAACCATAAAAAACATTTATGCAATTGTGTCTGCCATTCTGATCACATGGCCACAGGCTCTTACTCTAATTTATTAATTGTTATGAGCATTAATTAGAGTATTAATTTCATGTATAATTAATACATTTGCATTAAAGTGTTAGCACATTTACTGCATTGTGAATAATTACTCAGATAATGTGCATCTTGAGTACATACTCTCAGCTGTAATAAATTTATGAATATTTAAATTTCAGATTTCAGTAAAATTTGAAATCTTACTTTAATATTTTTACTGAAATTTTTACCTACATTAGATGTTTAAATTATGATTACTACCTTGGAAGATTAAAGGAGGAATTATTACAAAACAACTAAATACCAACGTTTTAGAAACATAGTAGTTGCAATTTTAAACAAAATTCAAAATTTAAAAAAAAAAACTACACAACCATGCAATTTTTATAAATAAAACCTCCATTTACAGTTTAATTTATAAAAGGATTATGTAAACTACAATCAAAATCAGAAGTTAAAAATAAGAAATGCAATATTACTTCATTTTATCTAGCTCTTCATCTTGAATGCTTAAGGCAAAATCAAACTGATCTGCAGAAAAAAAAAGCATGATTTTGCGTTTAAAATAATATTTATGAGAGATAAAATTATGAAATATACAAAAATAATATTGACAAAAAATAGACATCCCTGAACTGCATTTCAGAGAAAATTTAAACAAAAATTACAGCATACCTCTGACGGAAATATATTTATTTAACAGATCCTATTATTATTACCACCCGATACCATAATTTTGCTTCCTTACATATGACACTTAACCCCCCTCACTTTTTTTTATCAAAATACGTTCAAAAATTGCATATTTTTTAATACATATTTCAAATCTACATATATTTTAGAGTTAAAATATACAAAAAATTTTTGTAAAAGAGGTTTTTTTTTTTTTTTTTTTTTTTTTTTTTTTTTTCAATATAGAATTAGATCATAGAGAAGAGAAGGTCAGAATTGAAATTGAAGAATAATGATATAAAAGGGAAACTTTTGAAATTAAAATTGGTTAAATTATGATTATTTTATAAAATACCAAGGTAAAACATATATACTATATATTATATATATCAATTTTTTTAATCAATCAAAACATATATGTCAATTTTGCACCATTCTCGGATGTTTTCAATAAAAACTGAATTTTCAGATTCATCACTATCTGCAGAGGAATCCGAGAAATTCTCATCAGTTTCGCTATAACTATCTTCAATATACTTGAAATCAAAGTCAGAACTACTACCACTGTCAGAAATATCATCAGGAATATAGGTTATATCACTCGTGAAACGCTTCCTGCCAGAAATCTTTGAGCTCTGAAAAGCGTGCACAAAATGTTACATTATGTAATCTTGTATATTTGGTAGAAATATGGATAACTAAGCCATCTGTTAGCCCACATCTAAATAAACAATTAAACATCGCAAAAAAGCCAACAGGAAACCTTGAACGAGGAAAGAGCAGGTTGCACAGTTAAATAGACGGCAAAAATTCATCCCTGCGGAAATCGCGGGTTGCGCAAATTTTGCTACTTCTATGTTGCCTGCGGAAATTGCGAGATGTGCAGCAAGAGAGTTAAGATATCTAAATTTACTTACCCAATACCACAGACAATAGGTCCTCAATTAATAATGTTCAATACCAAGAGGTGTATTAATTAATAATGACAACACACTTAAGAGATAGTTGGATATGGGAAAGATGGTTTTGTAGAAATTTCCCAAAAGGAAAGTGAGTATTATTAATTTAACAAAATCAGGAAATGCCACCTAAGAAATGTGGTTGAATCATGTAGACATCTAATTCAGCCACATTTCCTGGGTGACATTGGCTATTCAAATATGGTTATTGGTTATTCAAATATGGCAAAGCATACATGAACTATTTATTTATCTAAGCTCCATGCTACTTTAAACTGAAAGCAAGCCGAAAGATGAAATCTGACGGTCTAATACTCCACTTCCTTTAATACCTTTACCAAGCTCTTTAAAAGATTTTCAGTTCAATGGGCTTTTATATATTTCAACTCTGAAAAGATAATAGGTCTCAAAGCAACTTCCTTATCTAGGATTTGAAGCCAAACTCTTCGCTTTGATAGCTAGACTATGCTAACCATCATTTTGACTAAGGTGGCCAGTGATTCAACACCAAATCAAACATTTTTCACACTGAGACGACATAAAGCTATAGGGCTTATTAAAATTACCCACATTAAAATAAAATAATGCTGTTATTTAATGTTTAACACTAAATAAGTCATACTATTTTTACAGTAATTAATGTTTTAAGTTTCATATATCAAAATCGAATTTAAAAATAAAAACTAGTAATATTCCTTTATACTTTGTCTAGCTCTAATGTCGAGGAACTGAGTGAACTAAGTAGTGAAATATCGCAGAGTTCGAATAGTAGCTACAGAGACTTAAAAAGGGTTAAAATACCCTTTTATTCACTCAAAGAAATAATAACAGATGGCCCCCTTCTTGGGCACACAGGAAAGCTTCCACTCGGGCCTTTAAATAAAGATAAGAAAATAACAACTAATCTAATACTAAACTAAATTAATTAGTTAGTATTAGATTAGTTGTTATTAGTTAGTATTAGACTTACCCGAAGCTAGCTACAAATACATAACATAGTTGGCCCTTAAATTAAACTAGCCAGCAATTCTCAACAGGCACCCAAAATAAGGCCAAGCATAATAGATTTAAGGATGAAGAAGCCAGAAGGAAAACGAACTTTACTAAGGATTCCTAAGCACTCTCTTTTGAAGTAAGTTGAACTTCCTTTAAATACTTCTAATTTATTTGCATTCAATACGATTCTAAAAACTCATTCTGGTAGAGAGTTGTAAGTGGGAAACAAGAATTGAAAGGAAAGAGTTTCAAAATTAAAAATAACTGTTATAAAATTAAAATATACCTTACAAAGTAGTGAAAACAGTTTTAAGCAAAACACAATTCAGTATTTTAATCAAATTTGGATCCACGATTATTATTTTTGAAGTGACCAGCTTTAATTTTTCAATCAATAATTTAAAAAAAAAAAACACTTTTTGGATTGTAAATACAGACATTAATAAATAATTTACTTTTAACTTTTATTTCTGAAAAGCAATATATATGATAAATAAATAAAAATAAAATATTTTTTCCCCTAGTCTAACTTAGTGCAAATAAATTCAGCAACTCTTATCAACATTGGAAACAATCTGCATGTTTTGAGTACAACATTTATTAGCATTTTTTTTTTTTTTTTTTAGTTTTAGAATAAAATCAGGTACTATTTGTAAAGATAAACCTTCACAAAGATGGCCCAACACAAAATGCCCACCATGAACATCAGTTTTCAAACTGAAGTAAGAAATCATTTATCAAGATACTGGTACCTTTATGCTATGGAAAAGTAGGAGTTTATTTTAATATTCAGATTAATAAAGCAAATGCTATTCTACTTATACAGTGGAGCCACTACAGTAACCTTCATAAAGGTGCTGATACCTTGGTGAAGATTACTTGCATCAAATTTGAAACTTATTTTCATAAGGGCATGGGTACATTTATGACAAGGTCTCTTGTGAAAGTTTCTGTTTTATAAAATGTGGCAGACTTGCAAAAAGGTGCTGGTATGTAAAGGTTAATATTATGGAAACATTCTGCAATCAGGCAACTCCTTAATATCCCCCAATACATCCCTCCCCCCAATTTTCCCCCCTCAAAGAGAAGCAATGAAAATTCCCTGAACAGCAAGAATTAATGACCATGGAAATAGGACTGATAATACATAAGCTAAACCACAACAAAACTATATCACAAAGGCCAACTGACTACATTCTTGACAAAGAAAATAAGATGTAAGTGCACACAAGTGCATTTTAGGGAATTTAAAAATGTCGAAGTTAATTTACCTTAATGAGTATAACTAAATAACTGTTTTAAATATAAAAACGTGACCAAGCAAAACTACAATTTTGAAATTAAATCATATATTTTGTGATGAAAGAGAACATGCATACATACTCTTTGAATTTACAGCAAATATATCCCCTTTTTGAAAAAACCTAAAAATTTGAAAAATATATACTGTTAAAATAAAATGGATAACTTGCACAAAATTAGTAGATTAAATAATTCCTGAAGATACTGGTAAATAAATTGTTAGCCATAACAGAATAAGTAAAATTGAAAAGCTTAAATTTACCAATTTTTTATATGCAATTATTTTCTATATAACATAAGTTATGTGTCAAAAATTAATTTCTTTATTTTAAGTCTAAGTAAGATTTAATTTTTTCAAATGTATAAAACTCCAATCGTTACATATGTGAACACAAATATTTTTGCTCTAGATAAATTTATTAATAATGGTTTAAACTTTAAAATTCACAAATGCCATATTATTATAAATTAATGCATAATTTTTAAAACATCCTTATATGTTTTAAAGTTTGTTCAATGCATACTTAATTTCCTATTTAACCTTGAAAGATGGTGAAGATCTTGTCAAACTTGTGCCAACTATTATGGTGGGAGTTTAAAGGAACAGTTTCCTTACCAAATATAACATTTAAAATAACACCTAAACTATTTTTAGAACAAAGTAAATTATTTTTTTAGTTGGAGAATTTTAGTCTAAGGTTTCAGGTATTGGTAAAAGAAGAAATAAAAGTGGTCTGAAAATTTATTCATAAAGTTTGGCTTAGTTTATTTTCAATGGCAAAGCTCACAAGAACTATCTGCCTAAGGGGAAGAATGCCTCTGTGGATGATTTTTCTAACGGAAACTAGCTCATGTTCATATTACAGATGGAGAACCATGCAGCCAGCCCATTTCCCTGGAAACAAATTCAGATCAAACTACAAGTGTTCAGATATTTATTTGGCCACAGGTGGGCCTTATTCATAAACAACATGATAACCACAACTTGTATGGTAATTTTCAATGAAAGATTTTTTTGTAAGTTTTTAATTTGATAATACAATCTGTGTTTTTTAATTGAGTGCAATGGAATTTTGACTTTTGATTACTTTTTGGCTTGATCTATGATGAAAGAAATACAAACTGACAGAAAACAAAAACTCTTCTCACTGTTATCATCATGCAGTCTACAATGTATATACATTTAAAGCATAAAGCATTGTACAGCATAAATAAAATTTAAGTGTTCAATAAGAATAGAAATTAAAATTACAATTGAAAATTGGCTACATTGTACAGCAAGAATATAATTTAAAATAAATCCAAAATAATCTCTAGTCACAATGCAATGTTACAAATTTTTTCATACTCCTAAAATACTTTAATTTTTAACTTACTGTGATACTATATTTTTCATGTAGTGCAATATACAGAAAGGGTACGTATAAAAAATTTAATAACCATTTTTGTCAAAAGAGACAGTTTATTATTTCAAACATTAAGCAATAAAAATAATTACACATAATACAGAAAGTTATGAAGTTGTTGAAGTTTTAGTCCCTGGAACATAATGATTTACACACTGCCCATGAAGTCATTTATAAAGTGCATGATATTTCCTAACTCAAACTTTCATTGAGATTTTTAACAGAAAATATTTCCCAAACAGTTTTGTTTAAGAGTAAAATGCTATATTCTTCAAAATAGTTAAGTACAGTTAAAGCAACAATTTGTTGAATACAGCCTATTTTAAAATATCTTTTTTTTCCCTCTTCATTTTTAGTGAATTTTTCCTTTGACTTTTATTCTAAATTTGGTAATATACAACAAAAATTACATATTTATTTTAAGCATGGCACCCAATTCTCAGTTGATTTCAGCAAACCATCTTATTCACACAGTTGAAAAACTACATACATTCTTAACTTAATTTATACAAGCTGCATTTCCCAACAATTTCTTTATTAATTTCAGATTTTGTTCTAATAATGAAAGTATAAATTTCAGATGTATGAAAAATTTCTGCATCCTCATTTTAATTGCAGCTTTGCAATTACCTACATTTAATTTTTATTATTACATTTAATTATATGATTCTAGAACAATGTACAATCTGCATTAAATGAATAGATGGTACTATATGCACATATATAAAATATTCTTTACCTCGGGGTATCAAAATACTTTTTCAGCATGGCATCACAATGAGAATGGACTTTCCCATCATAATTTGAAGACTGTACGAGACACGCATGAGCACTTTTAGCAAAGAAAGGTGTCATTGGCTTTTTTAAACACTGAGAAAGCAAAAAATAAATAATTATTCATATGCTTGATCATTCACGTAAAAACCTTACTTGTACTTTTGCACTTAATAATTCAAAGCATGTACTGAAATGAGAAGAATGGTTAAATGAATAATGCATGCACTAAAAAAATGCGATTTTTCATGTGAAGATTGTACAGCATTTTTTAAAGACTCTTGCAAAAAAGTTCAGTCTAAAATTAAAGTTATTATACATATAATTTAATAACAGTAAATATATGCTATAGGGTGAAAAAGTGAAAAAAGACTTCTAAATTAAACTTCAAAGACAGTTGGAGAAACCTTCAAATGGAAGTAGTCAAAAAGCATGTGTAAAGAAAACACAAACAATTCAAACATAAATTATTATCTTATGTAAATATTTCAAATTAATTTTATATGCATTTTGGTGTTTCAACATCAAACTAAAATTTTTTTAAATTATATTTGAGTGAAATTTTAATATACGAGGTATACCCATAAAGTAACTGGACAAATTAAAAGATATAACTGGAATAAATGATTTAAAAAAAAAAAAAAAAAAAAAGAGACAGATAGAAAGTATGAATCTATCTTTAGAAAGAGAAACATCTCAATTCTTGTTAAAGCTAGTTTAAAATGGTTATTTTGTTTGCATACCAAAATGCCAGTCATTTTTATTTACCGAAATTTTACAGAATGCACAAATTTTTTTTTCTTTGAGATGGAACGTCATTATAACATTTGTAATAAATTACAAAAATCTGTAATCGAATTGCTACTGATGTTTCAAACAGTATTTCAATTGTTTTCAAACAGTATATGGTGATGTATCATTATCAAGAACATAAGTATATGAGCGGTAAAACTGCTTTAAATGTATGTGGGCATGAAAATGTTGCCCAGATGAACCAAAAACAGGATGCCCTTCATTTTCAAAGAATGAGGAAAATGTGGAGAAACTTCATTCTTTGTGAAAAGCTGACAGACTTGTAACAACTCAGCAACTTTCAGACATGCTTAGGATAAGCAAAAAAAGCTGCAGGTTAACTTTAATTGAAAATCTGAAAATGAGGAAAAATTGTACTAAATTTCATGCCTTGGATTTTGATAGCACAACAAAAAGAACACCAAAAATCTTGCTGTGAAGACTTGCTCACAGAAGACTTGAACTCACTTGTGAAGACTTGCAAGCCAGGATAACAGTTTCTTAAAGTGTATCATAGCAGTGGATGAGACCCCGTGTCTACAATACGACCCACAAACACAAAGACAATATACAGAGGAAAGTGCTGCCTTCATCCTCACCCCCCCCAAAAAAAATATGATATGTACATGACTGCCTTGTACACTACATGACTTCCTTGTACAGAATATTAAATTATATGTATTTTTTCTTTCATTTCATTTAAACTTATTTGATTGAATTAAATCTACTTCATCGATAGCATATAACCTACAATAGAATAAATGCACTCTTTAAAATTCACTATATTTGGTTGCCACAGCGACAATCTGGCGCTAGGTTCACTTAACAGCATTACATTTTGTTTATATTATAACTCAGAATGCATATAAATTTATATCATTTGAAGAATTATCTAATCGTTGCCACAAATCTAATCTTTGTATTCAAATACTATAATAAATCTAAAACGATGTATAAAAGAAATTAAGCAAACAAAACAAAAAAGAAATAGTTTTTCATAGACGATTCAGTATTCCTCATTCAATTAATTCAGTTCTCACTTTGCGACAAGGCAAAAATAAATAAAAACTCAAAATATCTATATTAAAAATTACGAAGTAAATCTTAAAGACTTATTTCCTCAAATAAATTTTAGAATGGATTAAACATGATTTAACCGTCTAAGCAGCAAAGCCATATATATATGGCCTAGAATATTTTTTGTGATATCTGTAAGAATGTATATATACGTGCATATTAAAATATCTCAACGAAATTAAGGTAATATATCAGAAGTACACAAATTCAGGTATGAAATACCAGGAGAGCTTTTACATTGAAATCAAAAAAATAGATTGTTTACATAGTAGTTTTGGGAAAGTTGTGCTTTCTTAACCAAAACCCTGGCCGCTCAGAGGGTTTATTCACAATAATAAAAGGCAATATCTTTGTTTTTGCAAAGCCTAGTTTCTCTAGATTAGCAACAAATCCGTTATTTTGCCAAGTTTAAAATGCAAACAAACATGCCTACCATCGCAAAAATAATTAGGCTTAGCTGCACTTAAACAATTTTTAAATTGTTGATAATTCCACAAATATTGCATGCAGATTTACTAAAGGCATAAAAACCTTAACTAGAAGATAATAACATAATTCAATCATTTTTAAAGAAAAAAATGCACAACTTACAAACATATAAGCGTAAAGAAACTGCGATCACTGAGTCAAACAGAGTGGATATTTATATATACATATATTTATATACGTTTGGTGCAGCCGATTGCAACCAAAATACGAGGTGCACATCTACATGTTATAGCAGTCCTATATACAAATTTTAACATTCTGAGGCTACTCGTTTTTGAATTATGCGAGATACGTACATACGTACAAACTCCATGAAAAATTCTCTTCAGAATTCATTTTAAATCAGTTTTATAATTTTTTTGGGAGAAAAGAATCTTTTATTCTGTCCTTACGTACAGATGTCACGCTGAAACAACGTTATTTGTTAAATTGCATTCGATAGTGGTCAAAATGGATGTTTTCGTTGAAATAAGATGGCTGAAACTTTTTGTGATTACAATACTTCTTTTATACTTCGTACAAGGAAGTAAAAAGAAAGAAAGAAAAAAAGAAGCAGCACAGTTGTCAAAATTAAATACTAAAAAAAAAAAAAAAAAAAAAAAAAAAGAGAGAAGGCAGATTTCAACAGTTTAACTATTTGGCTGCCAGTACAAGAAGAATTCAATATGTATTTCAGTATGTCAATGGTAGAAAAATCTGTCATAAAAATAAGCTGCCATAGACAGAAATTCTGGTTTTTTTTTTTTTTTTTTTTTTTTTTTTTTTTGCATGTTGCAAATTCCAACATACAGAATTAATGGACCAAATAGGTAATTTACAGTAAACTTTACACAGAGTAACTTCCAAAATTAGACCAAACAGCTAATCTGCAGTAAACTTTTGTATGGTCTTCCATTATTCTTCAAATAATTCAACTTGTACAGGCATGAACTTCTTCATGTACTTTAAAAAATAAGTAGAAGTGAAACATAGCTGCCTTCTCAGTGCTACAACTAAAGTCACAACATGAAGTCAATCTATGCAAATTATTGATTTCTCCATATATAATTGATAACTGACGATACAAAATTTCACCCACAGTTAGCACAGCTTCCAATGGTCACAAATCTGCCAGCTTGAATACAGAACCAGATTCTATCAGTTTATTATGATATTGACACTATAGCAGTATTCCGAGTTTTTCAAATTTTGTTATTAACAGAAACAGTACTTACCTAGTATCCCATTCACCATGAAACTGTCGCCAAGCAGCAAGATTTAGCATTAATTATGAATAACTGTGATCTAAGAACACATTACATTTGCATTTTTGTCTGAAGCAACACCAATTGTTTCTCAATAAACTACCTTTTGTTTTCATGAACATGGATATCAATTAATTGCTATTTATATATATTTTCCTTGCATTTTGAAAAAAATATTATTAAAATTTGGGACATGTCTTCAACAGAACTGCAAGCAGTGGATTATTTTTAAAGTTATGGGATCCTAGAATAAAAGAAATATATGACTCCTATTTTAATTTCAGGTCTGATCGGTCACAAAATGATGACTCCAATGACGTTGGCACTGTCTTTGGCATGCCTATCAATTGCATCACGTGTCGGTTGTCAGTTGTGAAGCGCAGCGAGCATGTAAACATGCTCACTGTACTTCACAAGAAACAATAGTCTTCCCTGTCAAGTGCATAATGTCATTCAATTTCTGCATGCTAAAGGGTACAATGCAGTCAAAAATTCATCGACAAATGAGTAATGTATGCAGAAAAACTTTCACGAGTGATAACAAAGTGCAACAATGGTATAAAAACTTCAAAGCAGGATGTACAGATGTTCATGATGCAGGCAGGTATTGAAAGAAGAGAATATCAACCAATAATCTTGTTCAGTGAGTGGATTAGGCAATTTGAGAAAATTGTCAGCTCACAATTTCTGTATTGAGTGATTTATTTCCTGAAATTTCATAGTCAGCTCTCTATACCATCCTGAGTGAGAGGCTTCAGTATCCCAAACTCTGTGTGAAATGGTTTTGAAGATGCTGTCTGACCATCATAAAGCACAGTGAATGGGCACTGCCTTAACGTTTCTCAAATGCTACCATGATAAAGGGGAAGATTTTTTTGGACAAAATCATTACAAAAGATAAGACATGGATCCACTATGAAACTGAAGATACAAAACAGCAATCCAAACAGTGGATGCATACCAATTCCTCAAGTAAAACAAAGAAGTTCAAGAGAACCTTCTCCAGCAGAGAGGGTTCTCTTAAACTTTCTCCAGCAGAGAGTATATGGCTACTGTGTTCTGGAACTTAAAAGCTGTTCTCTTAGTGAAATTCATGGAACACAGCACAACCATGACTGCAGCCTCATACATTGTTACGTTTGAACATCTACAAAGGACAATCCAAAACACACACAGTGGAATACTGTTATCAGGCACTGTCCTTCTTCATCTTCATGGCAATGCATGGCCGCACACCGTGGCTGCAACAAAGACACACCTGAAGTGCTTTCGATGAGATATGTTTGATCGCCCATTATACAGCCTGGACTTAATTTCCTCTGATTACCATCACTTTGCTCACATGAAATGCTAGCTAAGAGGACAGAAGTTTGTTTCAATAATCTGCAGATCAGCATAGAGAACTGGCTGAAGGTACAGGTGTCTGCCTTCTGTGATGAGGATACTGGAAAGTTAGTACCATGCTACAACAAATGTCTCAGCCCAAGCAGAGACTATATAGAGAAGTAGTTGGAAGATATGTTTGAAGCTAGAAGGTATTCAAAATAAAACAATTTTGATTTTCACTGTGGTTTTCATTTCGTGACCGATCAGACTTTGAAACAAAAATAGTGCTTGTATTAATGGGTACCATATGGCTAGCTTAAAACACCAAAAAAACAGCAACAGATTGGAACAATTAATTACCTGCAGGAAGTTTGTACTCATAAGATTTTAAACAGAGCTTCTGTTAAAATCAGAAGGCCTAAAAATAGTAGAAATGAACAAAAACTTTTTTATGAAGCATAAAAAGGAAGTGGGTCGAATAACAATTGTTTATTACATTAAGTTCCTTCAGAATTCCATAGGAATGACTGGTGCAACCTTGGCAAAATCTCTGCTAGCTTTTATGATTTGATGCTAGCCAACTTTCATGTTCGACATGATAATACATAATACACATAAGGAATTTGAATACATAATGTTTCAGGGCATAGTTCATCTTTGAAACAGTTCATAAAAGAATAATAATGATAACACAGATGATAACCCCGTTATTAGTACAGGAAGAAACAATCAGAGTAGCTTTTTCAGTTTCTATATGCAATTTAACATTAGGCATAGAAATATCATATATTATTATTATTTATATAAAATGAAATAAGTTTTTAAAATATAAAATATTTTGACCTGGTACCTTTATTTGAAGCCTCAAATGTGGTTGCATCAAAGCAGATGGATGCTTGTTTAAGTTGAACCAAAGAAGTGGAAACAAGTAAACCAATCTGTTATTTGGAAAAGACTCATCAGAAAATGAACAAACTCTCACAAATCTGGATTTTATATGCTTTTTTTCGAATGCATTCGATTTTTCGTTTAGAACTCGCTCAAAAAGTTCTATTTCAACCCATGACCCATTAACTAATTTTAATTCAGACATTGCTGTTTTTGATATAAATACTGTACTATGCTCATCCATTTCCTTCTCAACCAGCTCTCTTTGGAAGGGAGTATCAAGTTTGGGTCTAACATTAATCTCAAATTCTGTATCAGGTGATATGACAGAACTGGAATCACAGTTCATTTTATCTTGCATGTCTGCAGTAGCGACAGAATTAGAATCATGATCCAATGAATCTTGCATGTCTGCAATGATTAGAGAACTATTCAAAGTCAGTGTACCTTGACACATGGGCTGGCTGTCTAAAATGACACTATCTTGAGAACTGCATGAAGGTATAATCAACTCATCATTTCGACGACAAAGCACATTACTACTATGTAATTCTTTACATAGCTTTTTATTTGGGTTTGTAAAATAATCATAGCTCTCTTTTGTTTTAACACCAACAACAACTTTTTCTAATGGATAACAATATACAAATTTAAAATAACATTTATCACCGTATCTGTACTTATAACGATTTAAGAAATATTCTGAGACATATATAATAACTTTGTTAGCTTTTGTAGCAGCTGTAGAAACAATATTAACATGAACAAATACATTTTCTGATGATTCATAAACAGAAAAGTAGTCTCTCATTAGCACACCATAAAAATGGCCTTCTTTGAAAGAAGTGTGAATTAACTGATCATCTTTCACCATATTAAACTTAGAAAAATATTCTTCTTCTAAAGCCACATGTAAAGGATGTTTCAATTCTACTGAGTTAGGCACTTTTTCTAACCAAACTTGGAACAGTTGCTGCAACATTTCTGAAAATAAATAAATAAATAAATAAATGAGCATGTATAAAGTTATTAAATTATTATTTCATGTAAATCTATATACCAAAACTTATATCCAAGTTATCACGAAATTAAATAAATTGCTCTTTGTTGCTGAATGTTCAGTGTGATAAAAAACATAAATAAATAACTATAAATAAATCTGCTATACGCTTAACTATAAATAAATACAAATGTTATACTTGAAACTCAGTACATACAAATTTATTAAAAGTCAATACTACTTGAGCAGATAATGAATTTATGAACATACTGAACACATGGTGAAAGATAATAAATAAAATAATCAGAATTTATTCTTCATCATATAAAATTATGACTACACACCATATTTTACATTAAATTTATTTAATTGCATATTTTAACAAGTTGGATGAAATAAAAGTTGCATACCATGGGGATTTAGGGTAATAATATGAATAAGGTGTTAATATATTACAATCAGTGTAATGTAATAGATATTATAAATACTCTATCTAATTGTTCTTTATTATTTGTTTAGATGCTTCTTTAATTTTTTGCAAATAGAGAAGATTAGGCAACATGAATTCCAGATTAACAAAAGAATAGAGGGTGTGATAATATGAATAAGTTATTGATTTATTATGATCAGAGCAATGTAACAGGTGTAATAAATACTAAATCTAATTGTTTATGATCATTTGCTTAGATGTTAGTTTAATTTTTTGCAGACAGAGAAGATTGTGCAACATAGATTCCAGGTTAACAAATGAAGAACAAGTTAATGTAGATTAAATGTACAGGGTACCAGTTATTACATGTAGATCAGTTGCAAATAAATTTAACAGGCAGAATCCAGATCATCCTGTTAACTGTAGGACAGTTAATCAACTGCTTTAAAGAAATACAAGTTCTGATAATAGCCCAGAAAAAAGTCAAAGACTGATGAGTACAACTAATCCAGACCCAGAAAAATGAGTAATAAAATTGATATTTTTTGTAAAGATGTTTCAAAAACTAACAAAGAAGCTATCAGACATGATACAACCAAAGATCAATACTGCATATTTTTTCACAAAAATTTCTACCACTGTTCTAAAGATCAGCTTGTCCAGAATGTCCATGGAAATGACTAACATCATTAAAAACAATTTTACACGTGTCTTGTGGATTATCATAATCTCTCTGTATTCGTCAATGGTAAAGCCATTTTTAATTCGAGTAGTCAAGTCAGTATAAAATATTGATAGACATTCTGTAATTCTTAATGTACTTAAGACAGTCACTTATGTAATTAATGTATGGTCATGACAAAGACTGAAATACATAAATATTTACTACTCAATTCTTACTTTTTTGATGGTAATATAAATGAAGTGACAAAAGTCATGGGATAACAATATGCAAATATACAGATGGCAGTGGTATCGCGTAGAAAATGTATAAATGCGAAGTGCTTTGGCAGGGCTTTCATTTGTGTTCAAGTTATGCATGTGAAGAGGCTTTGATGTGATTATGGCCCGCATGACGAGAATTAACAGACTTTGAACACAGAATGGTAGTTGGAGCTAGACGCATGGGTCATTCCATTTTGGATATTGTTACGGAATTCAACATTTCGAGATCCACAGTGTCAAGAGTGTGCAGAGAGTAGCTAATTTCTGGCATAACATCCCAACATGGACAGCGCAGTAGCCGACCACCTGCACTTAACGACCGAGACCAGCGACGTCTGCGTAGAGTTGTCAATGTTCACAGACATGCAACACTGCATCAAATAACTGCAGAAATCAATGTGGGACGTACGAGGAACGTGTCCGATAGGACAGTGTGGCGAAATTTGTCTTCCTTGGGCTATGCCAGCAGAAGACCAACTCGAGTGCCTTTACTGACAGCACGACATCGCCTGCAGCTCTAACAGTCTGCAAAAAATAATAAGCCGGATCCAATTCGAAGATTAAGGAACAACGCAATCTGCAACATTAACTGAATTAGATAATTTTAGCTTAGCTTATACCGTCCGTTATACATTAAACGCACATGCGTAAACGTATTATGCGCATGCGCACACGGATATTCGCAGCCGTAAAGGTCTTACGTGCATGCGTCGCGCAGAAAGTTTGTAATTTTGAGATCCAGATTATAGATCATTCCGGATTATGGGTATCCGAATTAACGACTTTTGACTGTATAGACTTTTGTATAGCATATCACACAATGTATCAACTTTGCAATATCACTTATAAATTTTAGTTACCCAACATGAAAATTGTCAGCATACATCTTCCATTCCTCCCCAACCATTAGATTATATAAAACATATTTTATGAAATGAAATAATGTGTACTCTCTTTAAAAAATTGCTCACCAGCAGCAAATAGAAGAGTTGTGAATACATGCACCTATTAAATGGAACAGATCAATTTAATGGTTGGGTGGTTATTTGAATATGGTATGGCACACAAGGCTATATGCCTACATGGACGAATGCCTTTGTGGATGATTTTCTAAAGAGTGCTGGTTTGTATTCTCAGTACACAATTTCAATACACATAGGTTCCTATTCTCATTACGCAAGCGAATGGGCTAACAAACCATGCAGCTAAAATTGAGATCCCTCTAACATTTTAATTTTTATTATTCAGAAACACATATATTTTTCGACTTTTACAGCTCTAGCTTTAATGGTGAAATGACGAGCTTCGAACAATTTCCCGACGCTATGATTTCCAAAAATCGTAGTGCCACTCCAGTTTGTTTTATCCCCTTCCTAAACGTGGTTCATACTAATGTTGCATTGTTGTGAATAGTAGTGAAGAGTAGAATTTACCACTTCAGAGAGAGTGACAAAGTTTTTAGCAGGTTCACTATTGACGTAGCTTCTATTTTGTTATTATTGAAAAACCCCACAAACAATTTTTGTATCGTTGTTAGAGGGCTCTCTTCGAAGGAAAGAATGTTAGTTAGTTCAGTTTGCAAAGAAGTAGATAATGAACCATCGATGTAATTCAGGTTGTTTTGAAAATAAAATGATTATTTTTATAGATTGCTGAAGTATTGGCTTCTATTATAACTAAGTATGACCAGAACTCTCTTAAGGAAGTCAATATAATATAAATTTAATGTTTTTTTATACCTTGGTGCATCGGCCAGGAATTGAACCCGGGCCACCCACGTGGCAGGCGCGCATTCTACCACTGAAAAACTGGTTGAGAATCGCTTGTCTGTGGCACAATTTGTGCCCGTCCCTTATGTTATCAAAAGTTATTGCTGGGGACTGTGAATGAAAGTAAGGAGCAAATTTGAATTTTCCTTTTGTTTCTTTTTTTAAACAAGTATTTTTATCTAGATGTGGAAATTATTTTGATTATGAATAGATGGCGCTAGTGTCCAGCATAAATGTGACATGCCTTTTTTGTTTTCGCAGGCTCCCCACCACACCCCTCTCATTTTTTATATTTGATATGAGAAGTGAGTTTGAAAGGAGGGATTAAGTTTCTCTTAAATTTGATTCAATTCTTTGATTATCACCCTATTTTATTGTGTTTAATTAAATTTATCTGAACCACTAGTGTATATGAATACATATAAGTGTTCTAGAGGACCAGTCCACCTAATATTTATGGAGGGGAAATAATGAACAAGTTAATTAACGAAAGACATTTTAATGTAGACAAGCAATTACAACATAAATTTAACATTTACAAGTAAAAAGTGGTTATTTGTCAAAGTTCTTTTTAACAGAAGCAGCATCTCAGCTCCAATGTCAATTGTCCATCATCTGAAATCGTAATTCCCCCAATTTTTTTCTTTGTGCTTTCAGAGATCGTAATAGAAAGAATGACATCATGGCTTGATTACGTCATGGTTGCTGGATTATGCCATGGCTGCAAGCGATTGGCACTATATATATATATATATTAATTAAACATTTTGAAATTTTAACTATCTTTCGCGACAAATTGGTCCATTGGCCCGGATCTAACTGAGCAACTAACTGAAGAATTGCTAACAGTTTTCATTCCTACTTTCCTGAAAATTTAGAAAAAGAGCATGGGATAAGAGATCCATTTTCTACTTCGAATCACTACTACATTTCTTATTACTTGTAGATCTTTCTTGCAGATATAACTATCTTTCTTGTAGATGCTACTACATTTCTTACTACTAATTAAATGATAATCTTATGGTTCAAGTAAGAGATCAGCTTATAGATATTTCATGTGATGGAAGCCTCATGAATGAGTTCAAAAAAAGAATATGAAGTTTTTGGTTAAAGAGATGAGATGAATATAAGCCTATTTCGAACAGAGCGATAAAGTTTTTAATGCTTTTCAACACATTATATCTCTGCGAAAGCGGATTTCAGCTATGCTTATTATTATGTTAATCAAAAATAAATATAGGACATACTTGAAACTTGAACCTGACTTGCGCATGAAATTAATGAAAATATTAACATACCTAAATATTAACATACCGACATACCTAAATTGGTTTCAATAAAACAGGCTCATTTATTGCATGTGCTACAAAGCAAACATAATAATACTTCACATTTAACCTAACATTTTTTTGAACTAATGACAATCATAGTTTAATATATAGTCCCAAGAATAAACACACATGTTAAATTTGACATGTCTTCCACATTTAGTTTATCTATTTGACAGTGTTTCTTATGATTATAATACTATTTCTTTGCTTCATTTAGGATTAGGCTGTTTATAGTTGTTTAATAATATGAGTATTATTGTAGTTAAATTACATTGTTAAGGTGAGCTATCCCATTTTATGTTCTTGGCTTAGTTTAATAATTTATTTTACACCTTAATCACAAAACTTGATAAGTGCATTTAATCATGTGCTTCAATTAAAAGAAAATTGTTTAAATTTCACAACATTCATTATTTTTGTGAACCTTGTAATATCTAAAATGTCAAAAAGACAGAATTTATATATTCTTTTAAATGTATCTTTTCAATGCTAGTCCTGTGACTCAGGCA